GAGTCTCTGATACCATGTCAAAAGATCAAACAAAACATGAACGAACAGGAGATTTACGTGGTATCCTGAACGAGTATCGTTGAGACTAATCCACGGAGAGGGTGAAGCCTCTCAGAGTCAATCTTATTACGTAGGCTATGATTCCTTAGGTGTACAGAATGATCAGTACAACATATATATACTGGCCGCAGGCTTACCCTAAGGAGGTAAGATTGTAATTAACCGTAAATAACAGGATGGCTAATTACAATCTAATACATGAACTTCTAACAGTACCATGTATATTATGGGATTCATTGATTATCTAGGTTATAAATTGCGTTATTACATTGATTGATTGCGTTGTATTTGGAACGAATAAGAAATAATCCTGGTTAAACGCATAACACTTCTATGGTCAAGTATAGTGTTAGTATGAGTTGACATATATGCATATAGACTAGTATATATGACAATAAGAAAAATGTCGATGTGTTGGACATATAGGCATCAAGAATATGGGATTAATTAAAGTGATGGACCAACCTCAAGTCCTCAAGGTGAAACATGAAACATGAATAGCCACATATGATGAAAGTCAGTAAGTAATATAACAGTATTCTAAATAAGAATCCCTACACTTTAGCTTATCAAAAATTACCTACATGTTAGAATTCTACTTTGATGTTATGCCTCATGGCTTTATAGAGGTAGGATTTGGATAGTAGTTGGTTATAGAACCAAAGCATGAAAAGCATATTCACAATAGCAAAGCAAGATAAAGGATTATCGGCTCATACATAAGGGAGTAAGATATGACCTGCTCATTCGATGGATTTCTATTAAAGTGATTGGTCAACCCAAATTCAAATAATTTGATTCATTAAAGCTCTAACTAAAATGGAATATATGATATCAATGCAAAGTTGGATCTATACGAATCATGATAGATGCATTGCTTGAATCTCATCGTGATAATCTGTACCAAAATATTCATATATAACATGTTCACAACAATCTGTACCAAAATATTCATATATAACAACATGTTCACAACAGAGGATGGTCGAGTTACTTCTCCTATGTTGATTTGGGCATCATTGAGGTGCTCTATGGTGCTGCCAATGTCTATAAACTTAAGGACATTGTACATAAAGATAAGTGTCCAGTGGGTCACGTATCATAGGACTAAGAATATATGAGAATGTTATAGAGTTGATACGAGATTTTTGCTCGTCCGTTAGGCGGTACGCTTCTTTTGTTTGTATTTTATTAGATGTTATCATTTTTAAATGGTGTTGGTCTTTTACTTCTTTTTCAATTATCTAAGTTTCGGCTATAAGAGGATCGTCGCACTTAGTGTGTGCTTGACCAGGATAAACAATAAAATCAAATAATAAGATTTCATCGCTCGAACAAAAACATAAAGATGTCATTACATATCTTAATACGCTCTAAAGAATGTTTTGTAATTTTGCTATTTGGCTATAATAAAACCTTAAGGAATTAATGAGGTTGTCAAACGGCAGAAAGTTTTACTTTCCTTTATTTACAACAAAGTGAGGCTTCTAGAGTGGCATAATTCTTTGTTTGGGATTTAATTTTTATTTTGACATAATAGCATCACAATAATGAAATTTATTTGATGGAGGACTGCAATGTTTCTCGTTGTAGCTAAATTAACCATCATCGTTAAACTATAGAGGCTCGAGTTTTCTCATTGTATCATGCAACTTTAATTTGTTCCCACGTAAACATTTTAACAAACACATCACATAACTCAGTGGCCAGACCCCCTGTAGGTCATGTCAATTATTTGCACGGCCTAACTAACTACCCCATTTCGAACCAATTATAACCCGAAATGGTGTTTCTAATATAGTGGCGACCAAGGTTATATTCCACGGTTTTTGATACCATAGGTTACTTCTCACGTTGTTGTTATCTAGTCAATTGGTTCATTTTGGTTTTTGGAGGTTAATTGAGAATATTGGTGGAGAAAGCGAGGATACAAAGCAGGCACTTTGGGGTCACTCCCTCCCCCCAAAACTTAATTTCATCATGCAAATGGCTAACTATTTTAGGTTTTAAGGATAAGGTGCGGAAAACAATCAACTAAGGGTTTCAATGGTTACTTTCCTCCTCCTTGTACGCTCCCAGAGACCCATTGTCACCTCAGTCAAAGCTCACGTACTAAGGAATGACTACTAGTTTCTCTCAATAGGTTCAACCTATCATGCACACTAAACTGATGGATCGATAATGCTTCCATCATCTCTAGTATTGTCTCGGGAATGCATTCCTCTAGCAAGGATGCAGTCGCCTCGTCCACTAAAAGGAACCCTAATATTATTCATCGACCTTTAATTAGCCTTAGGCGCTCAAATCAATCTAACACTAAAACTCCCACCTAGTTCTGGGACTCAGTTGTAGGCTAGTCTAGAAGAGTTGGAGACCAAACCCCAATATAATCAAGCATATACTCACAGAAAGAAACAAATCCATACATAAACCCTAACACAATCACATATACATTCAAGACCTAATTCTAACTTTTGGAGGTTTTAATCCCTAGTATCTTAGAGGACTACTTCATAAAGAAAGGAAGAAGATACATGTAGAGAAATAAAAGAAGACTTAAATTGCGAAGAGCTCCCTTTCTCCTTCTCGTCTTCTCTCCCTTCTCTTCTTCTCCGTCCTTAAGCTTCTCTCTACTTAGTCTCTCCTAATCACATATACATTCTGTCTTAGCCAAGTTCACGGTTGAACTGGGAAAGATCGCAGGCGCAATTTGGGAAGGGAAGGCCTCGATCTCGATCTTTGCCATTTTGCGCTTTTATGAATAGGAAGTTCCCGTTCCAACTTCATGGTCGCGGCCGCAATCTTTCTCGCGGGCTTGGATGAAGAAAGTAATGAGTCGACTATCAAAACTTTATGTTCCTTCCTTGTTGGTTGCTCCAAGAGTTCGCGCCTAAGGCCTCCGACTTCGTGGCCCTAATCTTGACTTTGAAGGCTGCGATCTCGGTGCCAACTTCCTGTCGTCAATTCTCGGCCGTGATCAAGCATCCCCTGGCTGTGATCTTTCTCTACGCTTGTGCTGTCTTTTGGTACCTAAAACACTCATATCATCTGATACACCCTAAATCGCTATTATTTTCAACGATAAACGAATAAAGGGTATATTTGATGATATATAGACCTTGAAGACCATGAATTGACTCAAAACGAACCCAATTATGAGCTTTAAATGACACCGTTTTGGTTGTTATCACTTGGCTAGAGGTAATTATAAAGTAATTAATGTATTTTTATTGGAAATAAAACTTTACTATTTAGAATTAATTGAATTGATTGGAGATAGAGATTGTGCAAATCCAACGAAGGTAGCTATGTCTAGGGGTTGTCATATACCATGGTGGTATATATTATTGAAAATTTCTCAAAATATCATAGTGAATAATTTTTTTATAAGTGTGATATAGGTTTGATTTTAATTAGATGCTATTTAAGAGATCTGAACGTGAGACCCACATGTTTAAAACCAATGATATTACCACAAGACCAAATCATTGTTCGCTAAAAAATAAATATCTTTTGTTGATCACAGTTATTTTTCTACAAATTTTTGAACTCTAACTTTATAAAAAAACTCATTGATAAAATGAAGGAATTAGTTTTTGATTATTTAAATTTCAACCATTGTATCTATCCAATTGCTTGATTTAAATTGGAAACTCTGCATATTTTGGACGGCGTATCTGTACCTAATCCAATGTTGTCCACCTTCACACACCCAAGAAAAGGTAAGGAACTGTATAAAAAAAAGGAAAAAGAAATTAAGTTAAATTGCATTAGGAAAAATTGAAGAGTGGTTTCTAATACGTGTGCATTGAAGGAAAAAAGAAAGGTATGATGTTGAAATATAAAAAGGAAAATGTAAATAGATTTGAATTGCATTAGAAAAACGTAATGATATTTTTTTTTATAACCGATAGATGCTAAATTTGATTCATAGAGACAACATATTATACATGTCTTAGATAGTTCTTTTACCACTTTACCAAAGGTGTGTTAAGTTCAGACCAAGTGAACTTGATTAAAAAACATATGAACAAATTTTTCACGGTAACCAACAACATTCTTATACACATGAATGAAATGTAGTTTATTATAATGACACATGAATGAAATATCTTCGTTTACTTTAGTAATTTCACAGTATAAGAAATGCGACTTGAATAGATGAGTGCGATCATTTTTACGCAAGTCATCATTTCATTACATAATTTTATCTCTAACTGATGTGATAAGCACACAAAAATGTCATTATGTTTTCAAAAAATTATAATATAAGTATATTAGTTCACATATTTATGATGTTATAGTTTGAGGTTTTTCACACAAAAAAGAACAGTATTCTTTCCTTTGTCATTTTTTAATATTGAATTTTGAATATTTCTCATTATTTTAAAAAATTAATGACGGTCAGAACAGAAAACCTGCATACCGAAACCCAATTAGGTATAGAGTTTTACTGATAAGAAATTATTAAACATAGTTTACACACAAAATATCATACACCCTGACTTATCTGGGTACAACCTTTGGTACGTTTTACAATCGCTGATTTTTTACTTTACTTATAATTTTTGGTTTGTTGAAACATTTGTTAATATTTATAAAATATATCATGATATGGAAATAAAAAATAAATTATCTTAGCTATTAATTATTTTTTGTTTTGAAGAAAACAAAATACACAATCAGTGACATTCTTAGGGTAACTTATGTAGAAAGTGAAGTGAATTAAACTCATTTGGTAATATGTGTACTAATTTTATTTGTGCTTAGTAACAACAAACATGACTTACCCTATTGACTAAATGCCTTAAGTGATAACAATTTAATGCATAGGTTGCAAGATCAAACCTTAGTGACAACAAATATTGTTATTTATTTTTAGCTTAGTGAAACTTAAAAAATTATTATAAAAAGGGATGAGATAGCATGACAACTATTATTTTAGTAGCCATGGCAGCTAACAAACTTTATACCATTTATTTTTCTTGTTTTCCCTCTTTTCTATATTGACAATGAAGATTGTTCTAAGGATAGTTATGGAAACGGAAAAAAAGTCACATATGATTATTGATCTTTAAAACCTAATGTATACTCACCCCTCTCTCCCCGACGACGGGAGCTTCCAGCATCTCCCTTCCCTCCTTGGCAACAAGGGACAGTCACCCTCCCTCCCTCCTCATCCATCTTTCTCTCTTTCCCTACCTCTCACATCCCTCCTCCCCTCCCCCATCCATCCATCCATCCATCCATCTCTCACACACTCTCTCTCTCTCCATCTTTCACACACACCAGCCGATTTGCAGCGTCGAGGATGAGTCAGTGAAGGATTCCACCGCTTTGCCAGTTCCTCTCCCTTCATAACGATGCTAGATTTCAGATCTAGTTTTTCGTATTGGTATGTTTTTCGTATTGGTATTGTTTATTTCATATTGGTAGTATTTTCTGCATTGATATTGGTTTTTTCGCATTGGTATTGATTATGATGCAATGGTATTGCAGTTTTGGTATTATGTTGTCGTATTGGTATTGATTCTCATGTATTGCTATTGGTTAAATGTGCAATGATATTGGTTAATAAGTGGTAAATGTTGTGCTAATGATAGTGTTTTTATATTTTGGTAGTATTTGTCTTAATGAATTGTGGCCTTCTTGTTTTTATTATTGCAGCAGTTTTAGTTTGGTTGAAAAATATGTGATTATGGTTGGGGAAAAGAAAAATAACAAGCGGATTTGTAAGTTTGAATCCTTATACTGGAACCTACTCGTGTTTTGAGCTCATTTTCTTGGTAGTAGTTCAGGAATGAAAGCGGCTGGTATAATATTGCATTCCAAGGTAACAGAAAGTGTTCAAGACAAGATAAGGCAAGAAAAAGAAGCAAAAAGAGTATTCACACGAAAGGATTCAGATGTTGTAGTTCAAATTGTATTTCGAGCAAGCATGATTGGTGTCACAAAAAATGATTATTGATATATTTTATTTGGTATCAAGGCATGACACTGATGTCTTAGTTAAAAGATTCTTCTATGGTTGTATGATTCCTTTTAATGTGGCTAGGTCTCCATTTTTCTATGAAATTGTGAGAAATAAATGAAGGACCGAAAGGTTATAAGCATCCAAGTGCTGAAAAGATAAGAATCAACTTGTTTGATAAAGAGAAGTCTAAAGTGGATCATGCTTTAACGGGAATTCGAGATCAATGGTCTTTGTTTGGTGTTTCAATTGTATCTGATGGTTGGAGTAATGTGAAGAATAAACCTTCGATACATGTTTTGGCTATTTCAGGGGGTAGAGTTGTATTTCTTGAAGGCATTGATTGTTCTGGTGATGAAAAAACAGGACTTTGCATTGCTGGAATTTTGCTGAAAGCTATCTAGCAAGTTGGAATCTATAATGTTGTACAAGTGCTCACAAATAACACTTCAGCTTGCAAGTGTGCAGGGGAAATCATCATGCATAGACATTCTCATATTTTATGTTCAGATTGTTTAGCTTGCACCTTAAGTATTTTGATGAAAGATGTTTCTTCTTCTCATTATCCTTCTTTAAGGTTTGTGGGGTTTTTTATAAGTAAATCAAAGGGTTAGTGACGTACATAAGAAACTATAGCATGATGCTACATATTTTCAGAAAGTTTTCAGCTCTAGAGGTGATTCAAGTTAAGAAGACAAGATTCAGACATCAATATGTTGTGTTAGAATGGTTAGCCAAGCTGAAAAATCACTTGATTGCAATGGTATTAAGTGATGAGTGGGAAGCATGGTGCAACCTCTTCAAATTTAAGTAACGAAGAAGTGAATATGGCTATTTTAGATGGTGACTTTTGGGAGAAGCTGAAATTTGTTTTTAGTTTCACAAGGCCCATTTGGAAAATGATTCTCTTTTGTAATTCTAACAAAGCTATTATCGGTGTGAAGTTTATCAAGAAAGGAAGACATGTTGACCTTTATTCAACTTGCTTTGGTTGACCATTTGGATTGGAAGGATATCATTGAACTCTTGTCCAGGATAGATGGAGAAAGATGAATGCCCCTTTGCATTTGTTGGCTATGTCCTTACTCCTTTCTCTTTTTCCAACAAATGGTTGATGAGTTCTAACGCAAAGGGAGAGAAGCCAATAAAGCCTTATGCTGATCTTGAAATTTGGAAGGTATACCTTGATGTGGTTGATCATATAGTTGTATATTCAGTTAAGGCAACTCAAGCTCGAGTTCAACTTAGTGGCTTTGTTTGCAACACAGGTGTCATTACTCACCAAATTAATTTATTGCATTCAACTATTAGAAAATTAATTAAGCTAGTGAATATTGATTGTCTTTTGCATGATTAGTGTGGTTGGTATGATACATAACAAATCTTGGCCATTTTATTATCTTTTCTTGTTTGTATCTTTGGTTCCATTTACCACATGAACTTTGATCCTATTATAGTTTTTCTCAATGCTTATTCTTATCACTTTTTTAAATTATCAATTGTTTTCTTGTCTTTATAAGTTTTGTTTTTCTCTGCTAATTTTAGTGGGTTATGAGATCCATGATTCGTTTGAAATAACCTAAAACAATTTGATATAATGAGTTTGTTTTCTTTGTGTAGTTGTGTTCATATATATATATATGGCGAGTTCTACGGTACCCTGGGTGAAATCTGGGGTACCGCATACCTTGAGTATGAAAACACTATCTAGACCTTGAATTGACCGATCTTTCGGACATGATACTATACTCTAACACTTAAAGATCAAAATCTAGGTGTTAACTCTCCCAATCTTATACTCCAAGATCAATTTAATTAGAAACAATAATCGACGGTTATGATTCATCCAAATATAGGCACAAAAAGGAATGCACCATCTTAGGGTTTATAGATTATGATTTAGATAATTATGACCTACGGTTCACTCATTAAGAGTTAAGGGTATAATATCAGACACAAAAATCCTGGTAATTCAAGGTCTAGATAGAGTTTACATACTCGAGGTATGCGGTACCCCGGATTTCACCCGGGGTACCATAGAAGCCACCATATATATATATATATATTAATGTAATTATAATGCTATTGATTTAGGTATATTTGGTCGTCCACAAGCAATATTCGATAGAGAAATATTCTGTTGTCAAATGGTGGAACTTACATGGTGCAGCAGCTCCTGAGTTATATGGTTTGGCTTTAAGGGTGTTATCACAGAGTGTTAATACCTCTTGTACCCAATGTAGTCAAAATCGGGATTTTAAGTAAAATCGAAAACATCATCATCCTCACCCTCACTCTCACTCTAACTCTCATCCTTGTCTATTTGCTTAAGGACTAATATAATTACTCTTAAGATCACTTGAAATACTTTCACCATTAACCATATTTCCTTGATCACAACGATAACTCATTGATTGGTGCATTCCCTTCTTAATTGATAAAAGGTTGGGGATAGTGCTGCTGAAGGATTGAGAGATGAACGAAAGATTGCAATGGAATGGAGATTTGCATTTTTGTGACGGTGGTGGGAAAAACCTACAAGCTAATTGGGAGAGTGGAAGATATCGTAAAAGGAAGGAGTTGGGCGTCGACGTGCGAAAGAGGAAGATACGAGGAAGAGAATGAAAATAAATTGAGTGTTGTCTATTGGGTTAGGGTTGCGTTGTTCATTATGTTGGGTCGTGAGAAGTAAACTTGACTTGGTTTATGGACAGAACCGAACTTGACAAGCCTCATTTTGCTCCAATTGATGTGAACCTTGAAATCGTACAAAATCGTATAAATCGTAGATTTTAAGGATTTTAGAGTTTTAAATCGGGATTTTATGGGATTTTAAGGTTCAAAGATTTTACAATAAAATCATGATCGGAACCCAAAGGTAAGATTGTAAAATCATAAGATTTTAAGATTAAAATCGGGATTTTGACTACATTGCTTGTACCGAAATGGTTTTTAGCACATATAGTTTCATCCATAGTGTGAAAATGAATCATATGAATTCTAATCGTGTGAATCATTGGTATATGCTCACTATAATCGCCGTTCGTTGACACATTACAGGGAAGATTATGTGAAATTACAAGGATTGAGATTCTTATATGGAGGATGATATGATAGACCTTGACACACAACAACTTGAGGATAAAGACTTTTCCGTGCGTCTTGAAGAAGACTCTGCCGGCCCAACTTCAAGTGTACTAATTCCACCTCAAGCTACTTAAGAAAGTGGAAGGGAACAGAAAAGAAGTAGAAATGTGTGATGTCATGTTTATTTTGTAAAGTTTGTAACAGTTGACCAAAGGATATTGTTTGCTGATAGTGGTAAACACTTTTGTATATGTAGCATTAGCAAGCACATTATTAAGAAGTATCTTTCTATATATAGTAGGCTTAGGGATGTTTAGGTGATTATAGAAATTAGAAAGTAAGGTTTGTAACAGTTGACCAAAGGGTTATTGCTTGCACATAGTTGTCAACTCTTTTATATAACAATTAGCAAGCACATTAAAAAGTATCTTTGTATATCTAGTTAGCTTAGGGATATTTTAGGTCATTATATAACATAATAATTCTCTTAAAATGAAGCAGCACATGCCATATATAATGAAATCCCTTTTGACATTCCCCAGTTTAATCGGATCCTTTGTATTACTAAAAAGGCCGCAGTTGAAAATGCAACAAAGATAGAGGCATATCATTATGAGAACCACTCAACACATCCCACATAACTACTGAAAGTGCACTATTAGAGACTATCTATAATATCTGTAGACACCACATTTTGTCCGGGCACACACTACACTTAAAATTCGAAAGGAGAAAATCGATATTGATAAATCAAACAAAAACTTCAAAATAATCGATTGAGATTGCAGTGGCAAGTCAATTACTTCCAAGTTCACTTAATGTAATTCTAATATCAATTTGGTTGAAACTAGCATCAATTTGGTTGAAACTAGCAGTGACGAGTCGGTAAACATTAGTAATCACCGAGTTGTTTAGGCTACTAAGATTGGATTTTTTAAGATTAGCAGTAGCAAATCTTAACATCAATTCCATGTTGATCTATAAGTTTGCTTTGGATTTGGGAATGGTAGATGAATTTTGCGAAATTGAATTAAGGCAAAGACTTCATTATCAGATTTACATTGTACATAGTAGCAATGACACCATAGTAAAGGATTAAAACTAATCACAATAAACTAATTACAATAACAACGCTAAACAGATTCGGTCAACAAATTGAAGTCATTGCCCTCCTACTTTGAGCCCAAACGAATTGTTTACCTGCAAAAATGAAAAAAAGAGGAAAACAGATTAGTTTCAGCCCAAATTAAAATCATGAACCTAATTCAGACCCATGACTTTTGGCCCATACTTGGTCAACATGACCTAACCGAGTCAAAAGGCCCAATCACAGAGTCAACTTCGGTCAACTCAGGTCAATGTACCTTATCCCATCCCAAAGGACTAGCCATCATTACTGCCATTTCTTGAAAGGAGTAAAACGGCCACCCCCTCCCTGGAAACCAACCGAAAACTAACAGCAGAAGTGACAGCTGCCTCTTCAAAATGTGGCAGGCGGCCACCCCCTTGAAAACCAATGTAAAACTAACACCAATCCATCCATGAACTAAAAACTGCCACCAATCCTAAATGAACAGTGAAAAACAGATATAAATAGAAGCTTTACCACAAAGTTCAGGGAGGAGGATTGGCGGGGAAAAGAAAGAAAACTACATTACAGAAGTACACAAACAGTTTGAGCTCATTTTTTTCTTTACATCCGTCTTTTACACAAAAGTGACGCAGAAATTTGTGAAATTAAGCAAAAGAAGGCCATTCTTAAGCTAAGAAACTCCAACCAGGTTAGTGCTCTAACTCTTTCATCCTTTTGATAAGATCTGATCTCATTTTTGTTTTCGTCAAATTCATGCTCAATCATTGTACATTCTTAATCGTCTATCTACTTGCCCATTTATACTCGATTTTCATACTTTGCAAACTACTTAACATTTAAGCACTCTATTTATTTACTTAATACAAGATTTGCGCTTAGCAATTCAACTCTGGCATTAAGATTCTTTCAATTGAGCATTTACTTACTTTTCTCATCAATTGATAGACTACTTTATAGCATGCCACGTTGTAAATTTCCTATCTAGCAAATAGTTGATGAATACTTTATTATCATGTGTAAATGAATGAAAATATTCGAGTAGAGTTCAAATAGACAAAGGTCTATAGAAAGAAGAAAAACAACTCTTCCCTAGGATTGCGATCACCCCAGATCTAGATCCAAATCCAGCAAAAATCAACCAAACACAATTAAACTTCATATTTCAAACTCCATTTTGGCAAAATCACAAGCAGAGGCAGTGACTTTTAGTTGCCAAAATTATCAATTTAGAGCATGTTAATTACTTCCCAGTTATTGAAAATTCTCTTTTTCTTCTTTTTCATTTGTAGAAAAATCTAGCATCCAAAACCATCCACCAAGCAACTAAGCATAAAAATTTCGAGATCACCAAACACCAAAATTATCAAAACTCATACATAACTATTTTTATTGAAAACCCAGATCTGCAATCAGATTCCAAAACCCCAATGATAACCTTTTTTGTTCAAGTTGCCAAATCACACTACGCTTGAGTTTAGAAACCTTACCCAGACCTGTCAATTTCAAAACCTGCGCAGAGACCAGAATCGATTAAACCCAATACCAGTCAAGAAAATAAAAAAAATTAATAGAAGTAATCCTCACCTGCCGCCACCACCCACTACCGGCGTTGGCATCTTCGTCTCCGACGATATCCCGCCGTCGGTTTCCCTAACCAAAACACAATGCAAAACATCAGAAGCTGTTTTGAACCAAAAAAAAAAACACAAAAGGTAACATGCATGTGAAAGAGAGGCTTACCAGAGGGTAAGATCGTCTCACCGTCGCCGTTGTTCCAACTAGGAAGTGTAAAGGAGGAGAAATTGAGTGGCTCCTCTGTTTTGGGCCGACTCCTCAGGAAATCAATAATAAAATAACATATTAGACTTCCGAAACCCTATAATCATATTTGAAAATAGGAGGAAAAAAAGAAACAAACCTTATAGCTCGATTCTTTTCGTCGCCGGCGGTACATGTCGCCTTTGTCGCCGGCGATTTACGCCCCCGGTGACCTTTGACTCAATTTCACCAGCCCAGAACCAAAAAAAATCAAAATGGAAGGTTAGAACTCTAGAATACCCATTAAATCGAAAACGATAAAAAAAATAGACATGCAAGGGTAGAAATTGCTTACCGACGACGCGAGGGCTTTCCAGATCATCTTTTTTTTTTTTTTCTTTTCTCTTCAAAAGGTTCTTTCTCGAGTTCCATTAGAGAGAGACGAGGGTGAGAAGTTGAACCTTTGCTCGTTTTGAGTTTCTCATCGGGTTTACAGATGAGAAGGGAAGAAGAAGGTGGCTGTGGTCGTTGACGAAGGGAGAAGGGTTTCGGTGCTTTGGAAGAGGGAGTTGAGGTGTAGAGAGGCGGCTAGGTTTGATTTGTTTCTGGAAGAGGAAGAGAGAAGTGGAAGAATCGAGAGAACAGGAGAGAGAGGAAGAGGGCGGCCGCCGCTGGCCTTAGAATACGATTAGGGTTTTTTTTTGTCTCAGGAGATGATTTTATACTCATCTGTAAATGTCGATTATGCCCCTAGGGTTTATTGTTAATTACGCGGCCGTGCCACCGTCTTTTTGAGAACTTACCAAATTGCCCTTCCCCCTTCTCTGCTCTAAAACGAGATAAACAAAAAAATTTGTAGTTAGCGCGTTTCGAACCCTTGTTCCCTCGGTCAAACGCGAATTTGGTCTGGCGTTTTAGCCAGTTGGGCTGCTGGCCCTCATGCATCAATATTATAATCCCGTATACTTTTATTCATTTAAAATCCTTAATACGAAATGTAGAATTGCGGATTAAGTATATCTCGTTTCTTTTCTAATACATCAAAACTCCTCTTAATAATTGAAATTATTACATTATCTTTTTATAATTTCATAATACCAACCTAAATTTTACTAACAATAAATTTTGATACGAGAACCACGATCAGTGGAATGTGGTAATAACTTTACTTAAAATATTCAAGGTCCTAATGAACTACGTGGACTTTGATCCCGTCTAACGGGTACGTAGGCAACCGGTAAGGTTCGAGTCCAACTAACCAATTAATTATATCTTTTACGTCAGTGGACGTATAATTTAATTACAACTAACACGATTTAGTTTCTTCAATGGTCCAGTGGGACCCTCAAATTACAAAATCATTACTAAAATACACCCAACTCGCATAAAAACTTATCGACTTAAGTAGTACCGATTTAGGGCATTGTGGGGGTGTTGCTTAACTTCCCCATACGTAACCGTACTCCCGAACCCAGAACTTCATTTTCGCAGACCATATCTCGGTTCTGACCCTAAGGTTAGAGCCGATCCCAAGAGTGTTCGATCCACTCCAACTAAGATCGATGGCGACTCCCAAAAATGCCGACGCGACGACATACGGACCCCCCGGACGGGATGGTTGCGACAGTTGGCGACTCCGCTGGGGACTTCGAGAGTCGAGCTACATAACTAAGTTCGATAAGTTTTCTAATTTTCTATTACGTGTTGGGTGTTTACTTTCTTATTTGCGCAATTATGTTTTCGCAATTTAATTCTGCATTCATGCATAAAAGCTCTATACCCGAGCTATCCTATTAGAAACGGAAAAGGAGTACCGTGACTTTCACAGTGGTGGTAGTCACGCAAAACTTTCCAACCAAGTTGAACTCAGATCCGAGGATGATCTTGAGGTATCCAACCAGTTCGTAAGGGCTATGGTAGGATACAACTTGGGAGCCAAATCCTTAGGAATTCCTCTGCCAGCATATAGTAAGCATCGAGGCCTCCCTAAACCGTCCAAAATAATCCCGAAACAACCCTAGAACCGCGTCATTATGCCCTCTGAAAGCCCTAAGTTTTTCCCAAATAGGGTTATGTTCTTATTATCTATATGTATGTTTTCTACTGACGTGATAATTTGTGGTATGTTTTACCAATCGCGATATATTTATTTGTGAGAACAATGTGAATTTTTCTTTTCTTCTTTTTAAAAAAAAAGAAACTCATAAGCATCATTTTGGGTTTACGCTTATGCATTCAAAATAAATCATGTGGACATTTTCAAAATGCACGTGCATCCAATGAATCATCTGTGCATCTGTGCATCGCATAAGCATCATACATACTCTCCATCGTTCATTCAAGTCAATTTAATAAAAGTAATTGGTCAGGGTTCCTTAAAATTGCTCGTCCACAAGGAAAAAATCAAGACTTCAAGTACTTAACTAGATCCAAGCTCGAGGTCGTCATGGATGCATTTCAAAAAGAGTTGAACGACATCAAAGGAAAGCTGACCGGGTTTGACGAGAAGCTAGTGGGGTTCGATGAGAAACTAACGGGCTTCGATGAGATGAAAAGCCAGCTCAACACAATAGTGAGCATATTGTCCAGAAAAGGGAAGGAGGTTGCAACGAACGAGGAAGAAATCGTATTTGATGACGACGATCACTATGAGCAACCTCAGGGAAACGTCTCAGGTAGTAAATTCATTCTCATACCTTCGAAGAACACAGGCGAAAAAGGTGATATTGGGTCATCAAAGCATGACAAATCCGGAGAACCCGAGAAGCAAGAGCAACATAAAATTGAAGCTATGCTAGAAGAAAAATTAGAACACATGAATGAACGAATAAGAAGCATAGAAGGAGTTGAGTCGTACGAGCCTATGGATGCATCAAAACTATGTCTGGTCCCAGATGTCGTGATTCCTCACAAATTTCAAATGCCAGAATTTGAAAGATACAATGGCACCACTTGCCCAAAAAGTCATCTGGTCATGTACTGTAACAAAATGGCCAACCATATTCGAGATGAAAGACTAATGGTACATTGCTTCCAAAACAGCCTGAGTAGTTCTGCCCTACGATGGTATATGCAACTAGAGAAAACAAAAGTGAGAAGATGGCAAGACCTCGCAGATGCATTCATGAGGCACTACAAGCATAACCAGGATCTGGCTCCAGACCGAGAAGATCTGAGGAATATGGAAAAGAATGAGAAAGAGTCTTTCAGAGAATATGCTCAAAGGTGGAGAGAGAAAGCTGCAGATGTTCAACCTCCTCTATCAGAAAAAGAGATGGTGTCAATCTTCTTCGGAACACTAAGGGCTCCATACTACAACAACATGGTCGGAATTACCACAACCAACTTTGCGGATCTGCTTGTAATCGGAGAGCGAATAGAAAAGGGTTTGAAGCAAGGTCGGATGGAAACCCCAGAAGCCTCTAAGAAACCACACCAAGCCCGAAGAGGAGAAGCAGATGTCCATTATGCTCAAACAGAATTACCCAGAGGAAGAAGGTGGGATCATCAACCTCAAGCCAATCAAGCCCATCCATGTGTTGCAAATGCTGCAATAATTAATCAACGTCCAAATTTTCCTACTCAACGAGCCATCCAGAGCCCGACACGAGTCGCACCACCACCAAATAACCAAAACCAGAATAATTATGAGAGGTTCAGGAAACCCATCCAAATCGATCCTATCCCTATCACATACACTGAACTTTTCCCTCAGCTAATTCAAAGTGACCTAATCTCCCCAATACCATGTGAACCTATGAAACCTCCTTATCCAAATTGGTACAAAACAGACCAACATTGTGCTTACCACTCGGGAGTAGCGGGACACTCGACTGAGGACTGCAGATCGCTCAAGATCAAGGTCCAACAAATGATGAATACTGGCTGGTTAAAATTCGAAGATGAGCCAAAGCGTCCAGATGTCAACAATAACCCACTGCCAACTCATGGGAATTAGTAGACATACTACAAGGCAAAGCTCGATTTAAGGATGATGTTGATCCTACCTAGTAAATAAAATATCGAGATAATTTGCCTTAGCAAAATATGTATCACTTCTGCTTTTATCATAATAAATAAAAGGTCTCTCACGTTTCGACCTCTTTGGAGCATTGTGTGACCACTATCAATCTAAATTTAAGAGTTTGCATCAATGTTTTTATCAAAATAACGAATGCCACTTCGGATTCTTTTTTTAAAACAGATTTATTTTCTCAAACATGAAAGCCATCAAAATCCAGTTTTATTTTCAAGCTAAGCCATGAGATTTTCATGCAAAGAAAATGTGAGCACCCCACTGGTGCTGAGATTTGGGACACCCCACTGGTGTCGAGCGATTATAAACACCATGCTACCATCGATAAATTTAGCACCCACTGCGTTGAGAGTGTACGTGTTTCGCTAAAATCAAGGGATAAACACCCTACTGGTGTCCATAAATTATGTGAGCTAATAGGAAAAAGGTGTAATGAGTATACGACATCATGCTACTTGTAGAATCTCGACACCACTATAGTCGACTTTCGCCAACGGATTGACATTCAGTTTACAAGAAGTCAAATGGTCAATCCCGATGCATAGGGAGCCAAAACATTAGCATCATACCAAGGAAACCCTCATAGATTCTCATGACTAGAATATCGAGGAAGATCAAGGATATAATTTATCATACAAAGAAATCACACGCAGGAAGCAGTCATGTCCTCGGTTAAGGAGCTTCCATCCTTACGAACGGAGCACATCAAAGTCCGATTGTGAGATATTTGCGCAATACCGGCAAGCAAATGGCGTCCGCATCCCCACTTTTACCAAAAATACCCAATTTAGTCTAGTTATTGAGAAGTGGCACTCACATCATCAATCATCAAGCAGACACTCTAACTTTCGATAATCATCCTACCAATTACAATTGCTAGATCAGGAAAAATGAGAAACGTATATGGGGGCATGACGGAGTCAAGTAAGTCCCATACGCAAAAAAAAAAAAAAAGCGAAGAGCAAAGAAAAAAAAAAGACAAAAGAAAAGCAAACAAAATGTCATGGGACTTACAATCTGGGTGCCCTCGGTTTAGCATTTGAAGTACCAAATACCTGCACCAAGTCAAGGTCTTAGCAGATCAATCTCAAGATACGACAAGAAGGACCTTCAAACAGTAAACTATGATGATAAGAAAGTCGTTCTAGCCAAAACCCATCATCCAAAGTACTCATTATTTTGAGAGAAAGCCAGAAGCTGAAAATCCACAACATTCAACATTTAGAGGCCAAACAAGGACCTCGACAAGTCCCAAGTCAGATTGCATTCACGAAAATCACAGCCTCGGCTAGTGTAAAATACTGGGGGGCAAATCCAGTTGAGGATACATTCTGAGAAAATCCACCAGTATTTTTGAACAAGACTTTGTCAGCAAAAAGATCCAGATAATAAGTGGTTCTTAATCCATCAAGTCAATCCCATACTTGGGGCAAATCCAAAATCCCTCTACAAGAAGCTTTATACAGATATTGTCGAACTACACCTCAAGAACAAGGAGACTCGTATCCTCAAAGTCATATCGGATAAAGGCCTCTTTCATGGGAAACTAAGAACGTTTGTGACGAAGCCATATGCAGGTCTCCTAAATCAATCATACCAAGGGCTTCCATATTTGAGTAAATCATCATAAGGAACACATTTGGCCACAACATAAAGCCGACATCTCAAGGTGACCAGAATCTTAATGGTAGCTGAAGTGTCGTACACTCAAATCACCTATAGGAATGAGTGATGAGCGAAATCCAAAGCGGGAGTGAGAGCGATCAAAATCGTAAGCAAGCGTGAGAGCGAGGGCTTACTGATATTCTCATGGCTTGGCTTACATTTCTCTTAGAAAACCAAATTTGGCAATATGACAACTACCACACAAAAACGGTTTTCTCCAGTTTGCACACACTTCTCGAAACCAAAATCTTGACATGGCTTTCAATTTTAATTCTCTAATAAACGTTTTTCAAACATTTTTGCTTTCATCTTAAGTAAAGATTGATATAGTCACTCTTTGTTCCGGAGAATAGAAAGTGAGTAACAGATCTTCGGGGGCAAAAATGGTCCAACATGGAAGAAGGGGAAGTCTGAGTACCCAAAAATCAAATTAATCAACTTTCACTCACGAGTTGATGAGGAAATCTCTTGAGAACATTCATATCTCATCAAGCCAAACAGCCAATCAATTATACTTCAATTGCACAGCAAGAAGGAAGTCCTACTATACCGCACATTCCAAGAGATACACAACTCTGAAACTTCTGGGTCCAAGCTTGCCCATCAAGAAGGATGAAGCAATACACATCCTCAACTCATTCGACAAAGTATATTGTCACACCACTTCCATGAAGAAGATATATCCTGGGACAACAAGTCGAAAGTCGCTCCAAGCCTGACCAACAAGAGGATTAAGGCGACATACATCATCATTTCAACTTACAAAGCATATCTTTACGCAACTATCACAAAAAAGATACACCTCAAGACAACAAGTTCAAAGTCTCTCCAACATAAGCATGACCTATGGATCGAGTTGATCAAAAGGAAATGATAGTTCCTGGAGGATGAGCAATTTAAAGGAAACCCGAGTAAAAACAAAATAACCAACAAAACAAAACAACATATTGACATACCTAATTTCAAAAGAATTATGTCACTCAACATTCACGACTTCATCAGCATGACATATCACAAAATCATGTTCAAATCATTTTGATAATCACGTCATACCATCATTATACATTAAAGTGACTTGCTATGCATCACAATCATTTCCTAAATTTCTAAAATATCCATATAAATAGTATGTGAAAACTTTTTATGCGAAATACCACTACGCATTTACCAAATTGTTAGTTTAATTTTTATCACTAACATTTTCTCATTGTTCTATTTGACTTCTATCATAGACAATTTGAGTACAATATCCTTTACAAAATTGTTAGTTTGATCTTTATCACTAACATTTTCTCATTGTTCTATTTGACTTCTATCATAGACAATTTGAGTACAATATCCTTTACAAAATTGTTAGTTTGATCTTTATCACTAACATTTTCTCATTGTTCTATTTGATTTCTATCATAGACATTTTGAGTACAATATCCTTTACAAAATTGTTAGTTTGATCTTTATCACTAACATTTTCTCATTGTTCTATTTGACTTCTATCATAGACAATTTGAGTAAAATATCTTTTACAAAATTGTTAGTTTGATCTTTATTACTAACATTTTCTCATTGTTCTATTTGATTTCTATCATAGACAATTTGAGTACAATATCATTTACAAAATTGTTAGTCTGATCTTTATCACTAACATATTCCTCATTGTTCTATTTGATTTCTATCATAGACAATTTGAGTACAATATCATTTACCAAATCGTTAGCTTGATCTTTATCGCTAACACTTTCCTCATTGTGCTATTTGATTTCTATCATAGACAATTTGAGTAAATCTCCTTACGAAATTGTTAGTTTGATGTTTATCGCTAACATCTTCTCATTGCTTGATTTGATCCCTACCACAAGCAATTTGAGTACAATATCATTTACAAAATTGTTAGTTTGATCTTTATCACTAACATCTTCTCATTGCTTGATTTGATCCCTACCACAAGCAATTTGAGTACAATATACTTTAGCAAATTGTTAGCTTGATGTTTATCGCTAACATCTTCTCATTGCTTGATTTGATCCCTACCACAAGCAATTTGAGTACAATATACTTTACCAAATTGTTAGCTTGATGTTTATCGCTAACATCTTCTCATTGCTTGATTTGATTCCTACCACAAGCAATCTGAGTACAATATCATCGTTAGCTTGATCTTTATTACTGACATCTTCCTCATTGTTTGATTTGATTTTTGTCACAAACAATTTGAATACATCGTCCTTATAAAATGATTAGCTTGACGCTATCGCTGTCATTCTACTCATTGATCAGTTTGATTTCTACCACAGACAACTTGAGTACATCGTTGTTGCAATACAGTTAGCTTCATTTTATCGCTAAAACTTATTCCGATGTTTCATCTAAATTTCTATCACAGACGACCTGATTATATCATTGTTACGAAACGGTTAGCTTGATTTCATCGCTAACATTCTCCAATTTGATCGGTTCGTTTCTATCACGAACAACTCGAGTATATCATTATAAGTTGTTACCAAATGACCAGTTTGATTTCATCACTGCCATTTTCTTATACAATTTGGCTACCATTATCTTAACAACATGGACACGTCATTGTTACCAAAGATCAGCTCAAATTCTACTTACGAGAGTTTCACTTTTCAAAATGTGGTGTCTTTATAGGAACTTTGTATAACTCTTTATACAAAGAGATATACAAAGGGGGGCAACTGTAGACACCACATTTTGTCCGGGCACACACTACACTTAAAATTCGAAAGGAGAAAATCGATATTGATAAATCAAACAAAAACTTCAAAATAATCGATTGAGATTGCAGTGGCAAGTCAATTACTTCCAAGTTCACTTAATGTAATTCTAATATCAATTTGGTTGAAACTAGCATCAATTTGGTTGAAACTAGCAGTGACGAGTCGGTAAACATTAGTAATCACCGAGTTGTTTAGGCTACTAAGATTGGATTTTTTAAGATTAGCAGTAGCAAATCTTAACATCAATTCCATGTTGAGCTATAAGTTTGCTTTGGATTTGGGAATGGTAGATGAATTTTGCGAAATTGAATTAAGGCAAAGAATTCATTATCAGATTTACATTGTACATAGTAGCAATGACACCATAGTAAAGGATTAAAACTAATCACAATAAACTAATTACAATAACAACGCTAAACAGATTCGGTCAACAAATTGAAGTCATTGCCCTCCTACTTTGAGCCCAAACGAATTGTTTACCTGCAAAAATGAAAAAAAGAGGAAAACAGATTAGTTTCAGCCCAAATTAAAATCATGAACCTAATTCAGACCCATGACTTTTGGCCCATACTTGGTCAACATGACCTAACCCAGTCAAAAGGCCCAATCACAGAGTCAACTTCGGTCAACTCAGGTCAATGTACCTTATCCCATCCCAAAGGACTAGCCATCATTACTGCCATTTCTTGAAAGGAGTAAAACGGCCACCCCCTCCCTGGAAACCAACCGAAAACTAACAGCAGAAGTGACAGCTGCCTCTTCAAAATGTGGCAGGCGGCCACCCCCTTGAAAACCAATGTAAAACTAACACCAATCCATCCATGAACTAAAAACTGCCACCAATCCTAAATGAACAGTGAAAAACAGATATAAATAGAAGCTTTACCACAAAGTTCAGGGAGGAGGATTGGCGGGGAAAAGAAAGAAAACTACATTACAGAAG